GCGGGCCAAATTTGGCCCGCCAAAGCCACTTGATTTGGCCCACCAGCAGTTATCCTGGTTACTAGGTTGTAATCGTCTGTCTTATGTAGAAATACTTTATTTGCACTTAGTCTTTTCAAACATTGGTCCAACTATATGTACAAGGAGCTGTAGTCAGATAGTCTTAACTTATGGTGCTCACTTTCTCTTTGAATTTTGTTAAGATTAAACTTAAAATACAAGTAACTTCAAGAGATATTTAAGTCCATATCTAGATTTGCACACCTTATAAAACCACATACACTCAAATTTTAAATTATGAAAAGTCCCATGAGCCTTTTCTGCCCGAGCATACGTTGAATTTTCTCCATGTCCGTGGGCTGAAAACAAACAAACAAGAAAATGTGGGCAACCACACTGGCTGCTAGCTTAACCGTAAAAAAAATACAACTTTACTTCAAATATTTGCATTTTGTGTTTTATATTTTTGCATTTGGCCCACCACCCTCAGATTGATTTTAATTTTGGCCCTTTCAGGGAAAATGTTTGGGCACCCCTGGTCCAGTGCATTGTTCACCATATGCTTTTTTAAAAAAAAAAAAAACCCAAATTAACAATTTATTGAAATTTTTGAGGACCCCCCCAAGATATAGCTCGCGGACCCCAGTTTGAGAACCTCTGCTCTAAGCAAATGGGGTATTTTTATATTTGAGGACAAGTGTTGGTCATGAAGGTGTAAACATCCCCTTGTGTTGCAGAAAGGTCTGAACAGTCGGCTCAGACGCCGGCCTGGATCGACACACACTGGAACCAGCAGTTTCCAAGTGGGGAGATGTTATCACCTCAGTGGCTGCTAACAATCGGCTCCTTTGTGGGCTAGCTTTACAAACCTGATCACTGCTCCACTCTCACTTCTCCCAGAAGCCTGCTGGACAAGCACTGTGCCTTCCATTGTGTCTCCAAAAGGCCAGCGGACTGACTCAAACACCTTTTTCACAACCAACAGGCTTTCCTTTAATGTGGCCGAGCTGTGACAGGAAGAGCCCCCGAAGGCTGCAGAACGAGGGGACTCGTTTTCTTTCATGTGGCCGGCTGAAGATTGGTGCGAACGGCGGCCGGGTTAATGAGCTGATGGCGAGCTGCTGTGATGCACCGTGGCTCGCTTAATGTCAATGAGTATCAGGGTCAACACCTGATAGGGGAGTGTATTTTCCACTCATCTGTGGGGAAATGTCAACTGGACAATGCTGCTGTTTGCCATCTTTCTGCCCATTCAACTCTGATACCTCTCTAATGGGTTTAGTCTCTCAGGTCACTGAGCAAGATGGACAGGAAAGAATTTCCCTGTTAGAAGATACGGACATGTTGCGCAAACCTCAGCAAAGATGCTGATGAACACACAACAAGCTTTAAAAGCATACAACATAAACATCATTCATTAGGTTTTATTGACATTTGATGATAATAATAGGACAGTGAGTGAAACTACGGTCTAGACCAGGAGATCTTAACCTTTTTGACCTCGGGGCCCAATTTGTTGAACATAAAGTGACACGAGGCCCAGTCAGACATTACCAATGTATGGATCAAAATGATAATTATTATAAATCTTGGTTTAATTTTTATTGTATTTACATCATAACTAAATTAAATACACTTACATTTTAAAAGTAAAACTCCTGTCAAATAATCACAAGACATGATTATGACAAAAAATAATTTTTTATTGTAACCTGCCCAC